GGGACATAGTAAGGTAAACGTCTGTGGCATGCATATCTAACCCTAGAATTCAGGCAATGTGGGGACATAGTAAGGTAACGTCTGTGGCATGCATATCTAACCCTAGAATTCAGGCAATGTTGGGACATAGTAAGGTAATGTCTGTGGCCTGCATATCTAACCCTAGAATTCAGGCAATGTTGGGACATAGTAAGGTAATGTCTGTGGCATGCATATCTAACCCTAGAATTCAGGCAATGTGGGGACATAGTAAGGTAACGTCTGTGGCATGCATATCTAACCCTACAATTCAGGCAATGTTGGGACATAGTAAGGTAACGTCTGTGGCATGCATATCTAACCCTAGAATTCAGGCAATGTGGGGACATAGTATGGTAACGTCTGTGGCATGCATATCTAACCCTAGAATTCAGGCAATGTGGGGACATAGTATGGTAACGTCTGTGGCATGCATATCTAACCCTAGAATTCAGGCAATGTTGGGACATAGTAAGGTAACGTCTGTGACATGCATATCTAACCCTAGAATTCAGGCAATGTGGGGACATAGTAAGGTAACGTCTGTGGCATGCATATCTAACCTTAGAATTCAGGCAATGTGGGGACATAGAAAGGTAACGTCTGTGGCATGCATATCTAACCCTAGAATTCAGGCAATGTTGGGACATAGTAAGGTAACGTCTGTGGCATGCATATCTAACCCTAGAATTCAGGCAATGTTGGGACATAGTAAGGTAACGTCTGTGGCATGCATATCTAACCCTAGAATTCAGGCAATGTGGGGACATGGTAAGGTAACGTCTGTGGCATGCATATCTAACCCTAGAATCAGGCAATGTTGGGACATAGTAAGGTAACGTCTGTGGCATGCATATCTAACCCTAGAATTCAGGCAATGTGGGGACATGGTATGGTAACATCTGTGGCATGCATACCTAACCCTAGAATTCAGCAATGTGGGGACATAGTAAGGTAACGTCTGTGGCATGCATATCTAACCCTAGAATTCAGCATGTGGGGACATAGTAAGGTAACGTCTGTGGCATGCATATCTAACCCTAGAATTCAGGCAATGTTGGGACATAGTAAGGTAACGTCTGTGGCATGCATACCTAACCCTAGAATTCAGGCAATGTTGGGACATAGTAAGGTAACGTCTGTGGCATGCATATCTAACCCTAGAATTCAGGCAATGTGGGGACATAGTAAGGTAACGTCTGTGGCATGCATATCTAACCCTAGAATTCAGGCAATGTTGGGACATAGTAAGGTAACGTCTGTGGCATGCATATCTAACCCTAGAATTCAGGCAATGTGGGGACATAGTAAGGTAACGTCTGTGGCATGCATATCTAACCCTAGAATTCAGGCAATGTTGGGACATAGTAAGGTAACGTCTGTGGCATGCATATCTAACCCTAGAATTCAGGCAATGTTGGGACATAGTAAGGTAACGTCTGTGGCATGCATATCTAACCCTAGAATTCAGGCAATGTGGGGACATAGTAAGGTAACGTCTGTGGCATGCATATCTAACCCTAGAATTCAGGCAATGTTGGGACATAGTAAAGTAATGTCTGTGGCATGCATATCTAACCCTAGAATTCAGGCAATGTGGGGACATAGTAAGGTAACGTCTGTGGCATGCATATCTAACCCTAGAATTAAGGCAATGTTGGGACATAGTAAGGTAACGTCTGTGGCATGCATATCTAACCCTAGAATTCAGGCAATGTTGGGACATAGTAAGGTAACGTCTGTGGCATGCATATCTAACCCTAGAATTCAGGCAATGTTGGGACATAGTAAGGTAATGTCAGTGGCATGCATATCTAACCCTAGAATTCAGGCAATGTTGGGACATAGTAAGGTAACGTCTGTGGCATGCATATCTAACCATAGAATTCAGGCAATGTGGGGACATAGTAAGGTAACGTCTGTGGCATGCATATCTAACCCTAGAATTCAGGCAACGTTGGGACATAGTAAGGTAACGTCTGTGGCATGCATATCTAACCCTAGAATTCAGGCAATGTGGGGACATAGTAAGGTAACGTCTGTGGCATGCATATCTAACCCTAGAATTCAGGCAATGTTGGGACATAGTAAGGTAACGTCTGTGGCATGCATATCTAACCCTAGAATTCAGGCAATGTGGGGACATAGTAAGGTAAACGTCTGTGGCATGCATATCTAACCCTAGAATTCAGGCAATGTGGGGACATAGTAAGGTAACGTCTGTGGCATGCATATCTAACCCTAGAATTCAGGCAATGTGGGGACGTAGTAAGGTAACGTCTGTGGCATGCATATCTAACATTAGAATTCAGGCAATGTTGGGACATAGTAAGGTAACGTCTGTGGCATGCATATCTAACCCTAGAATTCAGGCAATGTGGGGACATAGTATGGTAACGTCTGTGGCATGCATATCTAACCCTAGAATTCAGGCAATGTGGGGACATAGTATGGTAACGTCTGTGGCATGCATATCTAACCCTAGAATTCAGGCAATGTTGGGACATAGTAAGGTAACGTCTGTGACATGCATATCTAACCCTAGAATTCAGGCAATGTGGGGACATAGTAAGGTAACGTCTGTGGCATGCATATCTAACCTTAGAATTCAGGCAATGTGGGGACATAGTAAGGTAACGTCTGTGGCATGCATATCTAACCCTAGAATTCAGGCAATGTTGGGACATAGTAAGGTAACGTCTGTGGCATGCATATCTAACCCTAGAATTCAGGCAATGTGGGGACATAGTAAGGTAATGTCAGTGGCATGCATATCTAACCCTAGAATTCAGGCAATGTTGGGACATAGTAAAGCAACGTCTGTGGCATGCATATCTAACCCTAGAATTCAGGCAATGTTGGGACATAGTAAGGTAACGTCTGTGGCATGCATATCTAACCCTAGAATTCAGGCAATGTTGGGACA